ACAGAAGAGAGGGAGGAGAGAGAGAAGAGATGCAGCTCGAGAAGAGAGAGAGAGAGAGAAGAAAGCGAGAGCTGACGATGCAGAATCGCGAGCCCGAAAGAGAAAGTAGGCGGAGAGAAGAGAGAGAAAAGGACGAGAGCAGAGGCAGAGAGAGAGAGAGAGAGAGAGAGAGAGAGAGAGAGAGAGAGAGAGAGAGAGAGAGAAAAAGATACTGACAAGCAAATCCGAGCGCAGAGGTCAAGATGGACACTAGAAAGATATGTGCTGCGTGGCCTCGGAGGCAGCATGAGACCGCCTGACTATTATCTGCCCACTCGAGAACGCAGCCCCCGCGTGCACCGCGGCGAAGGTAATTCCTCAGCCTGCCCCTAAGCACCTCCGTTATTACATGATCCTAGAGCTTCGTAAGGAATTCGCTGTGTGCGGTCGTGCAGGTAGGATGCAGCCGCGAAGACTCACGAATCCCTGTTGCACCACTAGTATTTGCGGATCCAGGATAAATACCAATACGAAAATACGACCAGCGTGCTCACTGAGGGGAGGAGGGTGAATCCTAAGCTTCCGCTGCCGCGCCGATCCGCTGCCTTTAGTACTTCGGATTGCAGTTTCTGGCATCTGCTTAGCACTGGATTTGCATATCAATGTGTAACATGGAAATTTTAAAATATCCACTTTCTGGCATTAATTCTTGGACAGTGGAGGAATCGGCCTGATCCCCCCCCCCCACCTACATCCCTGCATCCGCTAAGCCTAATAGTATGCAAGATTCGCATACGCGTTCCTCATATCTAGTGTACGGTCAGCCTTCCTAAACATTCGCATCTGATTGCTAAGCGCAACAAAGACCACGCCGACAACAACAACAACAACAACAACAACAACAACAACAACAACAACAACAACAACAACAACAACAGTAACAGCAACAGTGTGCTCACGTGCGACGGGCTGAGAAATTGCCCACATCTGGCGGATCTATGGGTGTTCGAATTAGAGCACTCGGGGTAGAAGAACGTTCTTCTTCAGAAATATGAAACACAGCTAGGTTTTCCCGGGAGCCTTGCGATTAATTCACATCGAATATTCCGTAAATTAAATCCCACACGGCCGATCATCAATCCTAAGATAACTTATACATTGACTGGGTGGAATATGCGGTCGTTTTCAGTATGCATATATGTACTGGAACCATTCAGTTTCGGCCTCACGCAAAATACTGTACAAGGTAATCTTATATATACACTACAATTTGTATGCATGTGTACGCGGCTGCAGTGTGGACACAGTAACGAGCTACGTTAAATTTATAATGACCAGCACAAATGGCATCTTCTCAACCTCCATGCACTTCCCAAGAGCTATATAGGCGCCTTAGTGGGTTGGCACATACATGTACGAGTATTTATACAGCTGATTTTCCTTGCACACCTCGGGGGTAGCTTCTTGAAACGCACACAAGGATACTGCGGCGTTGCCCTACACTCACAGAGCTACTGACTGCCAGCTATGACATGTGCAGCTGTCACCTAATCATGGCCTTACTTTAATAGCTTATTGCTTAGGCACACCGGCAATGTTTGATGAACGAGACATTAACAGCTACAAACGTAGCCTAACTGTGTACACATACGTACACTGCCACACCATGTACATCAGCAAATGCAGTATAGTATGTGTAATACCGTGTGCAAATTTGTCAGGTACATAAACATTTATTTTATACCTCTTGCGCAAACGAACATATGTCCTGCTATACTTGTACAAAGCAATTTGCACATTATTGGGATTGACTAGTTGTCTTCTGGATGTAACTACAATTTCACATAGTACGACTGCATCTATTATAACTACTGAATGATGGGATCACATTCATGTATCTTACCGTGTTTCCTTCTTACTTCATTAGCATGGTGTTCATCACACTTTCGCCAGCAGGACAGGCGATCAGCTGGATATTCACTGCTTTTTTATGTGTCATACATGTTTTCTGTAACGAACAACAGTCAGCAAAGTGATTTACCAGTCGGCTGACATAATAGTTCATACGAACCTGTAGTTAACTTTTGTTCAAGACTTGCTACACTCAGTAGTGAAGTTGTTTTAAAGGTATACTACTATACCGTAGAATTTTAGAGTATATTATGATAGTAAGTGCATAAATAATAGTATATACCTACAAATTTATAATCATGTATTCACATTGTTACAAAATAATAGTGGTTTCGAAATCTTTATTTTTGACTGCTGACATGACATCGCGCGATTGCGCTGCCACCCTAACAAAGTTGTGCTTCTGTCGATTTAGTTTGCATGTTACCTTTGTTACATTTTACTTTTTATGTTATTATTAGACCGAAGATTAATCAGAAAATTGCAATTATATTTACACCTAACTGCTATTTAACCGAACGACTTTTATTTTAGGATAAATTTGTCCATATTACAACTGAAACAATTGTTTATAAGATATTGCAATCCTTTGCTTCTTAAATTAATAAGTGTGTCCCTTTAATGGTGCGTTTATTTGCGCGAAATTACGTCGTTATGAAGTTAGAACCAAGACAAGCTAGTAAACAATTTACGCAACGGCATTAAATTTAGGTTCTATAACAACTGTGACTACTAAAACATCTTCAACTTAACTTGCTGCATCTATCAGGACTCCGGTTTCGGTAATATAAACTGAGAGGATTAACTCTTATCTCTTCGCATTGCTCATACAGTGAGTAGCAGTGACCATGTACGTATAGTGCTATATACGGATAGTATATACCATACACTACTCAAGACATGGGGAATGCCGAGTACTACAATGGCAGAGAGTCAACTACACGGGCAACGCACACTCCCTGCATACAGCCATGCACCCAAGCACCACGTTTTTCTCACACTGGCAAATGGATGCTCACGTGTCATAAAAAATATGGAAGTTGTAAAAAACATACACTACTTATAACACATAATATTTGTTATACGTAGTGTATGTTTTTTCCAACTTCCATATTAAATTTTATTATGAATATATATTATATGTACATCGTTAACAATGTTTGCAGGTGAGCGACCAGCTGTCATCAGCAACAAAGAAATTCTCATATGCCAAGCTTGTGCGAGTGCGGTTACTTCTCTTAACCGCACTCGCACAGCAATGGCAATTTTATTCAGCTTGGCATTGGAGAATTGCTTTGTTCCTGATGACAGCTGGTCACTCACCTGCAAACATCGTTAACCATTTACACGCTCATCTTGGGAACTCTCATTAAAATGCACGCCGTGGATACCTGTGTTCGCTCGCTTTCAATATAATCCACTAATGACATCTTCCTCCCACAGAATCATGAGATCTGATGATGTGTATGCGATGAAATATCCAATCAACACCATGCAGTCAAAAATGCTCATACGTGCGTTACATACAGCACATGCAATCCTATCCGCATTTTGGCCACTAACGATCACAATTAATTAAAACATACTAGAGAAAACTTGTAAATCTACACTGACTATCGTAATAAGAGTCCCTACAGACAGTTTTGATTTTTCAATACCTACAGCCCATTCCTCCATATCTAGCACAGACCATGCAAAACTTGATCATTGTGATGCAACTTCTGCTCGCAGCTGCATGTGGATCGCCATTACATTGCAAAAAATATCCCTGGAACCCTGGCTCGTACGTGTGAGAACCGTACACATGCCTGATAAATTTGTGCTCGGGTTAAAATGGGAGTGGTTGTTGCCAAGTGCTAGAAAATTAGACAGAAAACCAGCATCATCACCTGCCAGCTGTTCTGGCTCCCAGCAGCAGAAAAATCGTTCCACATCCCACACGGAGTGTGCGTGAAATGTCTACATGTTTTTACAACAATATTGAAATGTAATTTGTAAATCGTAGACAGAACTGGAAAACTTACTCGGCCAGAATACAGTACTACGTATTAACCCAGCATGATTTTACAAATATATACGATATCAAAGTTGCTATATCTATCCACGTAAATAATCTTGGCCACAATATTTTTTATTACTATTGCTTCATAAATTAAACTTATTCTACATACACTAATTACTTCCAATTGAAAATCCTATTATCAAATTACAGTGTCTTCCTTACAAGTTACAGCAACTCCTAACGAAATTTGCATTATTCTGTTTATGAATTGTGTTTTAAAGTGCAAAAGTTGCTAATGCCCCACCACATGCCTTCCTTCCATAACACACACGTTTTAGTGAGATCTAAAGTTCATCAGCTCTAGATAATGATTAATCTAGACAATAACCACTTATTTGCAGGAATAGCTTTTAGGTTGAGAACGCTGTTTTCCCTCAAAAATTCTATTGTCAGCATAATGCACCTCTGTTTGCAATTACTGTAGTCTCCGTGCACATAATGTAGATATATCAACGTCTGAGCCCACACTGCAGTAACTGTGACAACAGATGGCAATTGCCTTTGCTCAACAAAGAGCCAGTTAAAAGCAATCGTGTTTCTCATATAAACCTTGTTACATGGAGAGTAAAAGCCAGCACCCTTGCGTGATGTTTTTACTGGTCTGGAACGTTCCGCATATTGGTTGCTGTGTTGTTTTGGTTGCGGCCATTACTCGCAAAGATCAACACCACTAGAGTCAGGGCCGCTCTCATCTTCTCAGGGGGCCCGACGCGCTAGATGGCAAGCAGGTGGCTTCAGAGCTGTGACACTAGTTGGGTTACACGATTCACCCAAATCCACCCAAATCCACCAAATCCACCCCAAATCCACCAAATCCACCCCCAAATCCACCAAATCCACCCCCAAATCCACCAAATCCACTAAAATTTACTCGAACTCTACTCAATGTTAACCAAATGATAGCAAATCCACTGAAATTCACCCAAATACTCTGACACTTGCCACAATTTACGTGAATTCAGTGGATTTGGTTAGGGTTAGGGTTAGGGTTAGGGTTAGGGTTAGGGTTAACTGAATTCAGTGAATTCAGTGAATTTCAGTGGATTTGCCATCATTTTGGTAAATTGAATAGCGTTCGAGTAAATTTCAGTGGATTTGGGGGTGGATTTGGTGGATTTGGGGGTGGATTTGGTGGATTTGGTGGATTTGGGGGTGGATTTGGGTGAATCGTGTAACCCCACTAGTTAAACGAGCGCAGCTGCCTCTAGTGGCCGAGCCAGCTGCAAGAATTGATTATGGTATGTACTGGTGTAGGTAAAGTCACATTTTTGAGTATTAATGTGTTCTTAAAATTATGTTATCCTTGCCCTTAACGCATTCCTTTCTCTCTCTCCTTCTCTTATCTCTCCTCCCTCTCTCCTGATCATGGGTTGTCTATTTCTGACTTTAGTGCATATATGTCTATGCCCTCCCTGTGATGACAGATATATGTAAACACAAAGACATGGACTGACACACCAATGTAGCATTGTAGTTACACTAGATGATTTGAATGAATAATTTGGAGTAGAAATAATCAAAGTCAAAGCATATAATTTGTGTTTTACAGATGTTTACACCAACACATTATTAAGTTTCTTGATGGATGTCAGTTATAACATGTTGCTTCCAAGAAAATTACCACTTTTACAAAGAATAACGAAGGATTGAAATCAACAAGTAAATTGTTAAAACTACCAGTACTCAACTCTCTAGATTTGCTACAGTAAATATGCAGATTGTCTGTGGAAGCAAAGATGACCAGTCATTATTTTTAGTAACCCGTTTTTAATTACAAATTCACTTCAACTTATTTGACTGCTAATGTCAGTTCGCTATGACAATGGTATTTTTATATGATTCAACAACTGAATATGTTAGGATTTTTGACATATATTACATTCATGTTGAATTTATAAGTTTCTACAACAAATACTAACAAACATATACATATTTATATAAATATTTATATAATATATATATTTATATATTATAAAAAATAGTAATAGACAGTTTAATAATATTCCAACAACCAAGTAACCTACTATGTAATAATTTTGAGACTTGTTACCTCTGCCAGGGGCTTGGCGGAGGTTATGTTTTCACCAGCGTGTGTTTGAGTGTTGGTTTGTGGGTTTGTGTACGCACGCTGATTGGCCGATTGGCCCGCCACTGCCGCCTCCGCCGCGCCGGAACCGCCTGTATCATACAGGTTAAGCCTAACTGAAAAAGTTATGGACGGATTGTCATAAAATTTTCAAGATACATCAGAAATGGGCTAACTTAGAATTGATGGGACTTTGGTGGTGATCCGGATCCAATTAATTAATTCATTCATTCATTAATTAATAAAATTTTCAGGATAGGTCAGAAATGGGGTAACTTAGAATTGATTACATTTTGGTGGTGATCCAGATCCAATTAATTAATTGATAAAAAATTTCACATTGAGAGAATTCAGCTGCCTTGGCGGAGGTCTGTGCTCTCCGAGTGCTCTAGTTAATAATACAATCACTTTATATTTCTTCATACTAAACATAACCAGCAGATGGCGCTGTTAGCCAGGCTTACTTTAGCAATAACCAAGGACTCTTTCACACCAAGGAGCTAAATATAGGCGCGTTCACACGGACGTTTTTCAAGATTTGGCTGAGCCGAGCGTCCACACGGGTGGTTTTTCGGGCCGTGCCAATTTGGCACGAGCCAATTTGGTCCCATCGCAAACGTCGGACCAGGCCCGAGCCAAATTTTAGCACCAGCTTTCGGCGAGCGGTAAAGCGGTATAATCGGTTGAGCGGCAGATGCCGCGAGTGTCGAACGTGTACTTCGACAAAATAAAGTCCAAAACAGTATAAAAATTCGAAAAATTTGATCAGGATGCACGTTTTCAAGATTGATAATTGTACTCGGAACGGAAGTAAACACTCTAAAACGTGCACAACGCCATCTCGCGACATACTGCCAAAGTATCTGTGAGATATTTGTGCTATAAAATTTATTTGAATTTGAATTTGAATTTGACAGACAGTATTCACTTGCGTACGTGTGGACGCTCAGACTCAAACCGGCCCGAGCCAAACCATGACCGTGTGAACGCGGTACATAACAAGGAGAGGAAGCGCCGCCATATCTGGCCCAAATTTGGGTTCGGCAGAGACCCTAAAACAGATTAGTGTTCTATTGTCTCTGGGTTCGGTCTGCACAGCCGTTTCAGCTGATTATGGTCCATAGATGGCGCCCTTGAGGCAAAAAGCGCACAGCCAATCCGCTTCCTCTCCTTGTTATATTTAGCTCCTTGTTTCACACCATGCTAGTCCCAACTTATATTCCTTATCAGTTCCATATTTGATCACTTCCCATTTATAATAATAAGGCATAATAATTATTGTCTTTCACATGTATATAATGTTTAATGAATATACCATAGCAGTGTTTCCCCCGGCCAAAAAGGTCTGTGAGGTGGTAAATTTGTTTTGGTGCGTTTGCGCATTTCGAGGTCCCTCCAAAGCGAGCACTGCAGTTACTCGCCCAGCTAGGGGGGTCGAGGGCATGCCCCTCCAAAACTTTTTGAAAAAATGGTGCAATTTGGTGCATTCTAAGCTATTTTGGTACATTATAAGCACTGTTCTATGGAAGAACAGTGATTTTCATCAACGAGGCAGTGTTTTCGATAAATTTCTGTGTGGCGGCCCGCCTCGCTCGTGTCAATGCAAAGGAAACACTGCCATAGAAATAAAACCGTGTTTTAAAGTGTAAAGCAAATTGACACACGATATGATCATATGTACAACTATATAGATGTGTTCTTCTATATGATAGTAGAACGGTATGGATGGTATTAGAACATAACTATCAACTAAGTTGTGAAAATGCTGTGACATAACTGTACCATTTACACTTCCTATAAGAGCATCACACAAAAATTGGCGAAGTTCATAAGAATTGGTGTTTCTACATGAACTCGATTCCCCTATGTAAGTGGCTAGTGGGCTTGTCAAATTAGTGCAACATTTTTCTTCTCGTAAGTGGACACAGGTCTACCTGGTGCGTCTGGATATGCACAGATGTTACAGATGATGTCGCCACCGGCGACACCCAGAACCTCACTAGTGCCCCCCCCCCCATCAGAGATGTCTAGTTTGAGAAATGGTTGAGAGTGAGACTCAGCGTTGAGCGGAGCGACACCGGCCGAGAGAGCGAAGCGACCAAGGGGGGGGAGGGTGTGGAGCTTTTCGAAATTTGAGGTTTGAAATGGTGCAATTTAGTGCATACCTATGGTATGATTTATTGCCTTTATAAATATAAGTTCTTAGTCATTTTGAATGATTAGAAGTATTGGGAAATAGCCTAAATAAACTTTAGAACTAGTACTAGAAACTAGTCTAGTAAAAGTGCAAGCTGAGAATTGAAAAGTAAACATAATACCTCAGTAACCTGCAAAGCCATCATCCAGGCGGGATATTGGATTCCAAGCAGGCAAATAAAATGCGCCGCTTATAGCGTATACGTATTATACGTATACGGCCGGAGCGAGCGGCCGCGGAGCGGCGCTGTTGATCCGGCCTTAGCCTTCCGATACTAGTATACTGGTATCTGGGACTGCAAATAGGGGGTTTTAATTATTTATTTATTGATTTTTGCATGAGAAATTCAGAGATGAGCGTGAGTGTGAGAATTGACCAAAATGCGTGAGTCTCACGCTCAATGCGTGAGACTTGACATGTCTGCCCCATATCCTACCCCCCCGAGAACATTCCAGATTTCAGTGCGGCATACAGTGATTAGACAACAATGCCAGACAACAGATAGCAGACAGACAACACAATGCAAGGATGTGAATGCAGGCAACACAATGCCTCTCGCGATTTATGTTACAATTTATAATAAATGTAAACCCTTTACATTAACAAAACTTTACCAATAGAATAAATATTAGTAAACATATAGGGCAAAACACCCGAGTGCACACATACAGTTATGTTCTGTATCTGTAGAGCTAATGTTATTCTTAATGTTATTTTACTTACTCACCTGTAACAGCTCACTCACCTGAGAAACAGGTATTACCTATACTATCAATTTTTGTGTAAAGTACCAAGTTAATACCAAGTGAATACCAAGTTAAACCTGGGTATCTAAAAATAAATATACCATAAAACTAAGCTAAACATTGTCGTACATTAACCATATATCTATCAAAATCATTGTTATCTGCTCAAATGCATATAAGATATTAATAATGGCATAATTGTGACTATTTTTTTGCTAAATTGCGACTGATGCTGAGGTTATTTTGTTTTTATGTAATCATTATATCAGGAGTAAGATAATATAGGATAAAGATAATGTCAAAGTAAATGTACAAAAAAGATACTAAAAATCTTTACTAAGAAAAGATGCAAGATTTTAGACATAGTCACATACACCTCATCCCTGGATGATACTCCTTTAGGACTCCCCAACTTTTATGTTCATAATAACATATATATATATATATATATATGGTCATGGTCATATATTAGTTTGTGGTTTAATGTCATTTAGATTAGGGTTAGGGTTAGGGTTATCAATCATTAATCATTAATGATATCAAAGTTGGGAACACTCCTAATGGAGCGTTAGCCCAATCCCTACCTTATCCATAAATAACCAAATAATGTTAAAGTTCACACCTCAAAAGAGTGCTATGCTACGGCGCCCCCACGAGGCACGCATGTGTCTATATAATGCCACTGCTACTGCTCACAATTGTGCAAGAGGTGATGATCTATGATCTAGTACTAGTAGTACTTAGTACTACTACTAGTAATAGTATTATAACTAAACTAGTAAATAAATTAGTTCTAACCGTGCAGCTCTAGTAGTCCTGATAGGGTCTATGTCCCCCAGGGTACTGCCGGAACGTACCCTGGTACTAAATACTACTACTACTAGTACTATCTAATATGCCGGACCCTGGGTATATGACGTACCCTGGGGGACATAGACCCTATGAGCTCTAGTAGTAGTAAGACTACTTACCCCATATCTGATAACAATATATACAATGTATATATATATATATATATATACAGGGTTCTTGTTAACTTTTGACAAAGCAGGTAATTTGACAATGAATAGCAGGTAACTGTTTTTCCGGCACGGACGGTAGGGCGAGCGGCGAAGGCGCGAAGCCCTGCTAGATTGAAAAATTTCTGATTTGACCCACAAATAGCCTATTTTGATGGGTATTGGGTTCTAGAATTTGGTAGTTTAGAAAGGCGGTAAAATATTTAATCCATATTTGAAAAAACGAAGTTTATTTTAAATACTTCCAACCCAAGACTAACTCTGTGCACGGGCGGGTTTTTCTTTTTATAATAGATATATATAAAAATATATATATATATATATATATATATTTTTATATAGCATATATTTTCCTATCTTGTTAATAGCCGGTAACCGGTTATTTTTACCGCCTATCGCGCAATTTGTTACCGGCTATCAATTTGACAAACTCCCACTAAAGGCGGTAACCCTGATTTAAGTACTATATATATGCGTATTACTGCTGTATAATTACTGCATATATGCGTGTATGCGACACAACAATGCACACCAACACAAACAATTCCTGTATAGATCTACGCACACACACACATAGATGTACACACAGTCACATGGGCAGCACGATGCAGCTACGCACAGGAGTTGCCTGCCGAGTCGTTCACGCTCGTTATGATCAGGAATTCCACAGCAAGCGACTTACTGGGATAATCACTTTGAAGGCACCATTGCACGTCAGCACTCTTTTAGATTAATGTCACCATACCAGTCTGCTGAGGAACCGGAAGCCAGAACACAAACTTTGAACTTTGAATGATATGTGTATCAGCACATATCTCAATGTGTGTTAACTGTGACTTATTCACTTGTGTTGAGTGCGAGACTCACTCACCTGAGTTGAAGGTATCTGTCGTTAGTGGAAGACCGACCTGAGCAGCCGCTATTAGCTTCAGTGCAATGTAGAACTGGCTGCGTCCAAAATGACCCAGTCTCTTTGCTCCACATATCTCAAGAATCTGAAACACATCAAACATGCTTTGTATCAAGCACTTTATGGCTCCAAGGATCCATATGTCATCGTCGTCATCAGTTTCTCCATGGCCAAATAGGTCTGTGAGGTGGTAAATTTATTTTTGATGTGTTTGTGCATTTCGAGGTACTGGCAAAGCGAGCACCACAGGTGCTCTCCCAGTTAGGGAAGACCGGGGGCATGCCCCCCGAAATTTCTTTAAAAAAAATGTGCAATTTGGTGCATTCTAAGCTATTTTGGTACATTATAGACACTGTTCTAACTTCTATGGAAAAACAGTGATTTTCGTCAGTGAGGCGGTTTTGGACAAATTTCTGTGTGGCGGTTGAGAATTTGAGTGAGGAGGCCCGCCTCTCTCGTGTCAATGCAGAGGAAACACTGGTAATAATAATAAACAAACCCCTAACAGTATCCTACTATTGATGTCATCATTACAGACAGCGCGTCCTAAAAATTAAAAATACATTACACTCTTCAGTGCAACCTAGGTTAGTTTAGGTAACAATCTGTTGTCCTCTTGGCGTATGTGACAGAGAGAGAGCGAGAGACAGAGAGAGCAAGAGCGAGATTGTGTCCCGGATAGACTTCACTATCTCATCCTGTGTCTTTGTCTTCCTCTTTTTTTCTCATTCTTCTTCCTTGTTTTTGACTCTGCGCTACACTCTATCGTGGTATAAATCCGGAACACAATCTCACACACTCTCGCTCTCTCTATCTCCAGGGCTTGAAACTAACCTAAAATGTTCACTAGCCAGCAGGGCTAGTGACCTGTAAAATCTACTAGCCCT